TTGCATAGGAACAAACCTGTTTAGCAGCTACATCAGCAAGAGCATTACCTTTAGCTTCCATAGTATTAGTTGTGAAAGGTGCTTTCACTTTGATCACCGCTAATTTCTTTGGAAGTTTCATGGCAAACATTAGATCTTTAACTAATCCAGCATGCTTAATTACCCCAAAAGCATACCTGGAATCTCTGTAGATATTTGCAACCAATCCTGAAGCTAGCGTGCATGCTCTAGTTAAGGCAACTAGTTCTGCAGCTTGAGGTGAAAAATTATCTGGAAGACGACCTGAAGCTACCACTTAAGTGGTGGATGTTACTGCATAACCTGCTCGTCTGTTACCTTCAATGACTTGAGCTGAACCATCAACAAACAACTACAATTCTGAATTCTCTATGGGAGTTTCTGTTACTTCACTCGTAGGTGTGTATGTAAGCGTAACACAATCGTGAGTCATTTCTCCTTTATCCTCTAACAAAACTTCAGTCATTGCAGACATGATACATGAGGATGGGTTCGTGACTGGCGCACGCTGTAAAACAATGTTTGGGCTGTGAGAGTTATTAACCAATTTCCCCAACGAGAGGAGGTGACCGAAGTAACTTTAGCTTGGTTCATTAGTGCGGACACTGCATGAGGGCATTTTACGTTTACAGTCTGTCCTAACACCATTACTGATGGATCCTGAAGAGCTAGATGAACTGCCTGCACTGCTCTAAGACATGGGCCCATACCTTGAGCGACTATGTCAAGTTTACCAGAATATTAATGAATTGGGCGTAAACTGCCCCCATGATCTTGCATTAGACATGCAGTCATAAAGCCTAAGTGTTCATGGACATAAAGCACAAAGGGTCTATCAGATTGTGCAATTCCTAATGCTGGTGCTTGACATAGTGCTCTCTTCAAATCATTGAAAGCTTTGAGATGAAGTTCTTCCATGTAAACAGTATCAGAATCTTTAACATGGCCTTTCAACAAGTCATAGAGCGGCTGAGCAATCGAGGCATAGTCTTCAATCCAAAGTCTACAGTAACCTGCTGTTCCTAAAAATGATTGTGTTTTAATGGTAGTAGGCGGAGGTATGGTGTGTACTGAAGCGACTCGATCCTGTGTAATGGATCTATTTCCTGCACCAATTGTTTGACCCAGAAACATGACTTGGTTTTTAGCAATCTGAGCTTTGTGAAAGCTGCATGTGTCCTTTTTTCTGCAAATAGTCCAACAATGCTGCCAATTCAGTTTGATGTACCTCGTGATATGTTGAGGCAATCAAAATATCATCGACATATTGAATCATAGTGGACTGTTTGACTGGATATTCTGGGTCACACAAATCACGTCTTACAGCCTGATGGTATATGGTCGGGGAATTCTAAAATCCCTGTGGCAACCATGTCCACTGGTATTGCTCATAGTCAACTGTGAAAGCTAACAATGTCTGGCTGTCAGAGTGTAAGGGTACAGAAAAGAATCCATAAGACATATCGATTACTGAAAAAAAACCTGTTAAGCCATTATAAATTGTACAATTTGTGCACAAGTTGTGTGTAAGAGGCCTGCAGATTTGCGGACTATATAAGAACTAGGCCAAAAAACTGACCAGATATTGCTCTGTATCAGCAGTAATTGGTAGCCTCTACATATGGAGGCGTAGGTGCCACCTTTACCCTTAAATGTGCATAATGGACTGAGACATTGGCTGCTGTTGTACACCTTTTTGTCAAATTTGGATTATGCCATGATATATGCTTATCTTTTAATTCAAATAAAGAATTTAAATGTATACATATTGTCCTCGCATTCTTTCTTGTGTGACACACCTGAATGAAAGGCTCATTATTATGCGGGTCTTTGTCTTCTCAGGTGAGAACCACCTAATTAATCATGAGGGGGTTGGGCCGTTCACGCCCATTCGCATATTGCCTTTCCAAACAAAAAAAATGTTTTTCACAATTTAAAACAATCTATTGTTTTATGTGAATGATTAGGCAGGATGATTTTCAGATCATTTTGAAGCAAAAACTCTAGGCGACAACATCCATTAGTCAAAAGTCTTGTGGACACACATTTAGTATGTGTTTTGTGGCCTTATTTCAGAAACTTTAATTTTTAGTTTTTTCTATAACCATGAATAAACAATATTTTATCAAAAATACAAACATGTACATACATGTTGCTCACATATTATGGTAGCCCTGTTTGTGCTAAATAGAGTGTAATTTCACCTGTGCCATTAATATGTTTATAAGCAACTGAAAAAAGCACAAATGTCAGGGCATGTCAAAACATCTCAAGGACCCCAAAAACACCTTAGACCCCAGAGGGTTCACATCAGCATCTCTTTCCCATGTAGCTAACCTGTATAGGTTACTTCTGAGAGTACTGTTAGACCAAGTTAGATCTAGGAATGGCAAGGCTCCTCTGTACTCAGCTACAAGGCCATCTGACCAGATGCGGACTAGGGGTCCTTTGTCATCTAACACACTTTCAGAATCATAAACTATTAACGTATACTAAGTTACGTCTGACTGACAAAACCTTTCAGTGTATTCACTTACAGTTTATTCTTTCCTTTGCACACCGTTAGTGATTCTGGACCAGTCTATTTTGGGTCCCATGATATTCTTTAGAATTTTCAAAACACCTTCTCTCAAATCACCTTTACTGGCATGTTGTAGTTCAGAAGTAACAGCAGACTCAAATGTTGAATTCAGATTCAGTTAGAATTTTTGACATCAGCTGTGTGACTTCTGCCAACGACATGTCGTAGAGACACATTTTGCCGATCAATGTTATCAATGTGACTAACTTCTTCCACATAAGTTTTTTTCTGCAGCTTTGTTGCGGTTTAATTTCTTAGTCAGGATACTCTAGCACGGAGCTCTTTGTTCTGTTTTTCTAGCTTTGAGTTACGCTGAGACTGTTGTGTAGCTAGTAGCTTCTCTGTGGCAGCAGATAATGCCTTTCACATTGTTCTTGCAAACACTTGCTCCTAGTACCTTTTTACACTCATCTACTGACCAAGTCTTGTCTGGATTAATCTCATATTTCTGAGTTAGTTCTTGTCTAACTTCCCCAGTTACTATTAGGTTCATTTGTACTCCTAACAGTGATTTGAATTCGCTATCTGGCCACAATGGAGTTGTAAGACCATATTTTTCAGTTATGGGGATCATTATAGCATTTTTTCTAAACATTTTGTGAGTTGTGAGTTTCTTTGTTACCACACAATCAAAAACACTAAAACTTCTCTGATCAACAGAGGGTACACTTGTTAACCTTCCTTGGCAGAGCAAAAGATAACACAAATTACTTGCACTTTACGCTAAAGTGCTTACCTTCCAAAACAGAGGATAACCAATTCTTCCCTGCTGAAACAGAGAATAACCAAATATTAGCACGTAATGCTAATCTTCCCTGCCTGAACAGAGGATAGCCACTTCTTCCCTGCCGAAACAGAGGATAACCAATATTAACACGTAATGCTAATCTTCCCTGCCTGAACAGAGGATAACCAATTCTTCCCTGCCGAAACAGAGGATAACCATTATTAACACGTAATTCCAAAAATTCCGTGCCTGAACAGAGGATAACCAATATTAACACATAATGCTAATCTTCCCTGCCTGATCAGAGGATAACTTTCATCTCTAAAAGAAAACTTTAGAGGATAAATTAGTTAACCAAATACTAAAGCTGTCTGTTAACTCTTCTCTGACGGCGTAGAGGATAACAAATTTGTACTGGTCTTAAAGGTTCTTTTGGATAAAATAGCACTCACCAACCCTTGGTTGTACAGAAAGATTCAGTCTGGAACTCAGTCAGATCTTTGTTGAGCTTGAAGTTTCAATATGGATTCAGGTGAGTAGCTCTATCCGGATCACGGCACCAAAACTGTAGGAAAGTCAGAAGCCAAGACCAGGAGACTTGGTTGTATCTTCAGCAGGATTCTTTATTGAGAACACGAGCTGTCGGTAGCTGTAGTCATCAAGTCTAAGGCCGTGTACATTGTAGTTTATATACCTTTCAAGGGGGAAGGATTTACATAGAGGTGGAGACACTCTTAACTAAGCATGTAAATGAAGTACAGAAGTCAGCTTGTTACCAGAAATTCCCCAGCCCTGATCTCATCAGCATAACAGTGTCATTCAAATGCATAGATGCTAATCCAATCAGCCTGACAGTATCGCCCATACCTTCACATTATCATAGCTTAACTAGGGACAATGACACTGTTCAGGAGGTGCATAAAGGCAAAAGGTTAATGTCAGACACCTGGGTTGCTTGACTTAATCTTCTTTGAATCTCATCATTTATACCTCAAAATGTAAAACACAATTTACAGAACTTTCTCAGTTTATATATTATTGTATTGGAACCTAGATGTAACATTTTATAAATTTGTAATACAACAGTACTATCAAAGTATTTATTTAGGTCTGTAAGTTAAAGTCTCATTTATTTTCTCCATAGTCAAAACAGATTTTTTTAAACGCTTTAAAAACAGACCTGTCATTATCTTTGGTTGTTAAGTTTAATGGTTTACATTAAATTACATTGAAGCAAGTAAATTAAATTACATACACTAGACCAACAATCTCAAAGAGAGATCCACTAGTCAGCAAAGTCACTGTAACCATGGAAAAAGAAATGCGCCCAAAAAAGCTTGGCAGTAACTGCCCACTCCCCTATTTGAATGTGACAAACAAATATATGGTATTTTACGTTTATTGTAATTGACTTTACTTAGTTTTCTTATACCTATATTTTCCAATTTTCATAAATTTGCTTCAAATACTTTGTAATGTTTGCATTTCATATTTGAGCTGGTTGGTATGTTTCATGGCTTAGAACTCTTTATTGAATTTTTTTTAATGCCTGGAGAAAAGTGAATGAGATACAACAAAACAGTGGATGGTCAATGTTTTGCTGTATTTATGTGCACTTCTCATTTAAATAACAATAGTAATTTTAAAAATGCATCTTCTTCTTTTATCTCTTAGGTGGTAACAGCTCTGGGACGTGTTTGGCATCCGGAGCATTTTGTTTGCTCTGAGTGTGAATGTGAGCTTGGCAATTGTAATTTCTTTGAGAAAGACGGTCGACCATACTGTGAGCCTGACTACTTCACCCTGTACTCACCTCACTGCGCACAATGCAACAAGCCCATACTCAATGTAGGTATACATTTCAGTGTTATATTTAAGAACTTAAAGCTGTACTGGAGCTAAAAGTTCTGTAGGAACATGTTCATTTAATCCAACAAATCACAATGCTAGAGCAAGCATGCATCTAAACCGCTGCTTACCTCACTCTTGCAACACTTTTTACGGCAACCCAGTTTCTCCTCCACCCCAACTCTTCCTTACATTTAGGCCCTGTTTCCACCTGGTATTAAGATGCATTTTGGTCGAATGGATCACAAGTGGACAAGGGAGACACATATCCGTTTAAACCTGGCATTTTAATTTGTCTCGTTTGTCCACTTTCGACCACTTCTGTCCTGATTACTTCGAGGGGAGCGTCTATGGGTCCCTTTGATTCCGTCAAGTTTAAATGCCGTCTGACAAGCGCGCTTCCAAATAACACGTCACACAATGAATACGCAGTTCAGTAGGCGGTCTTTAGTGGCTGTTCGAATGCAGTCAACCACATGAGCGTTTCCACTGCGAAAGCAATCTGGTCGAATGCGTTTTCGAATGCGTGGTCGAAAGTGGACAAGCTCAAAACTGTATTTAGCATCGTCCACTTGTGATCCGATTGTCCAAAACACATCTTAATACCAGGTATAAACAGGGCCCTAGTTATTGTAAATATTATTTAAGTAAATCCACTGGGTACTTGGGTTGCATCTTGATCTCCAGCTCTGAATTATGGACAGCAAGGCAAATCTGTTTACATTCACTTCAGATCAAGAATTATAATAACATGTCAACTCCTAAAATGAATTTTAATGCTAGCTTAGCAATTCTCATTTGACTGGAAAGCAGAGACAACACGAAATCCTGCCCTGAGCTCTGTGATGAAGGAGCTTATCAATGACTTGTGACAAAAATAATAATAATTTATCTTTTTTAATACTTGCTTTATCCAGCAAAGTAAACCATCAGATTGAAAGGTGATTCTCACAAAACTAATTTCTGCAAGCTTTTTTCAAGGTAAATTTAAGTGTTTTTCCAAAAAAGGACACTTGGAGGCTCCAAAAGGACATCAAATAACCAAATCAAATAAGGAGTCCATGAAATTTATAAAGGTATGCACACCAAAGCATCCATGAAAAAAAAAACATTACAGAATTTTTTTTCCCCAGAATTCACAGTGTAGTTTATGTGTACAGTGCAACAGCAAAGAGCTTGTTTACATTTAGGACAAGTCAAGTTGAAATACTGAACAGGACCACATGGAGATGCCAAAAAAAAAAATACTGCATATACTACTACAGTACACAGATCCATTCAGAATACCTAAACACAGCAACATACACATCAAATCAACATTATCCTGAATGTGTGCGTAATCAACCTGAATGAACTGAAATGTGACTGTGCATCGAGAGGTCTGTCCATCGTTAGCACATAAATATAACAGACTCCGACGTCTCCGCAATCATCTTCAACTTGATTGCAATCTTCATTCAATTAAAACTTTACTAGTGAATGTTTTTTAAAAAAATAAAATATTTTCAACAGAAAATCATGTTACAGATATTTGAAAATACAAGAAAAGACATAAATGTAACAAAAAATTGCACATTAGAGGGGGCTTATTGTAGATCTAAATAAAGATATTGAAACGTTTGACATTTTACAGTTTTAACTGCTTTTTGTTTTATAAAAAATGTATTGAGTCAATATAATGTTCCATTTATTTCTTGAAATATATAAAACAGTTTTTTTTCTTACAGTGAAGCTTACATTTGTGAACATGGAATTTTGCCATTAAAAGAAATTATTTTAAAAGAAAATTTAAATAATAAAGAAAATGTATTGTATGAACCTGACTGTGCTTGTCTCTACAGTTCTCCAAAAGACCAACTAATAAATGTTTCCATAACAACACAAATTGACCATCAATATTCTTTGTAATAAAATCACAAACATTTAGTAAAAATGGTCTTGTGAATGTGCAGTGTGTCACGGTTTGGGTTTTGTTTCTTGTTCCTGGTTCTTGTCTGTCATGTGATCCCCTGTTTTAGTCATGTGATCTTGCCTTGTGTTCCCCTGTCTGTTGTGTCATGTTGTCATTGGTTGATTGTTTAAATGTTCACAGGTGTCCCTTGTCTCGTTGTTAGTCCAGTATGTATTTAAGCCCTGTGTCTTGTTCAGTCTTTATGAGTTCTTAATGTTGTAATTTTGAATGTTGGCTGTCCTGTTCCTGAGTCTGTATTTGTTTAGGTTCTAGTTTATTTAAATAAAGACACTACTGCACGTGGATCCTGGTTCTGCCTCTGCTTCAGCCGCATCGTAACAGAAGAACTCATCGCCAATGGATCCAGCAGTTGTTAGCAATCAGGCCTTAGGGAAATTTCTATCATCTCTGTCTCAAGATGGCCAGCCCTTGGAGAGGTATGTGAGGGACTTTTTGGCGTGTTGTCATCTGGGAGCACTAAATGACGCCCAGCTCGTGGACCTGTTTTGTAGCGGGCTGGATTGGCACATCGCTCAAGTTATGCCGGATGATCATAGTGGCTGGACCCTGAAAGGGTTTGTTGATCTGGCCCTTTCCTTGGGCGGTTCGGCACTTGCAGAGCCTGAGTTTCCCCACGTCGCGCCAACCATCAACCCAGCCATCGGATCGGTCTATGGCCATCCAGGACTTATTTCCAGTGTGGCTGACCCCCCGCTGATGTCAGCTCGTGCTACCAAGAGAACCATCACTCCCATGCCCCTCCAGTCAGAGACCGCCGTCCAGCCAGAGACCGCCGTCCAGCCAGAGACCGCCGTCCAGCCAGAGACCGCCGTCCAGCCAGAGACCGCCGTCCACGTCACGTCTGCCCAGCCAGAGACTGAGCTTCACGTCCCGTCTGCCCAGCCAGAGACTGAGCTTCACGTCCCGTCTGCCCAGCCAGAGACTGAGCTTCACGTCCCGTCTGCCCAGCCAGAGACTGAGCGTCACGTCCCGTCTGCCCAGCCAGAGACTGTTCACGTCCCGTCCAGCCCAGAGACCCCTTCACCGCTGGTTCCGTCCAGCCCAGAGACCCCTTCACCGCTGGTTCCGTCCAGCCCAGAGACTAGTAATGACTCTGTCACTCTCCCCATTAAATTTTTTGGGGGGGGCCATAGGGCTCCGCCATGGCCGCCCGAAGGGCCTCCATCGCCATGGCCACCCGAAGGGTCCGCACCGCCATGGCCACCCGAAGGGTCCGCACCGCCATGGCCGCCCGAAGGGTCCGCACCGCCATGGCCGCCCGAAGGGTCCGCACCGCCATGGCCGCCCGAAGGGTCCGCACCGCCGTGGCCGCCCGAAGGGTCCGCACCGCCGTGGCCGCCCGAAGGGTCCGCACCGCCGTGGCCGCCCGAAGGGTCCGCACCGCCGTGGCCGCCCGAAGGGTCCGCACCGCCGTGGCCGCCCGAAGGGTCTTCACCTCCGTGGCCACCCGAAGAGTCTTCACCGGCGTGGCCACCCGAAGGGTCTTCACCGCCCTGGCCGCCCGATGGACTGTTTGCTCCGCCCTGGCCGCCCGAAGGGTCTTCTCTGCCATGGCCGCTCGAGGGGTCTTCTCCACCATGGCCGCCCGAAGGGTCTTCACCGCCGTGGCCGCCCGAGGGCTCTTCACTGCCCCGGCCGCCGCCTGCGCTTCCTGCTCCGTCCTGGTCGCTCACGAGCCAGGTCCACCCATGCTCCGTGGCCCAGGCTCGCCATCCCTGTGTCCTGGTTCCTGGTCCCAGTGTGAGCCTGGCCCTCCGTCCCTCCCCCAAGACCGCCTCCACTCACCACCCTCCTGAACTTGTGTTTTTGTTTTTGTTTTGATGGGCGTCGGGAGCCGCCCATAGAGGGGGGGCTATGTCACGGTTTGGGTTTTGTTTCTTGTTCCTGGTTCTTGTCTGTCATGTGATCCCCTGTTTTAGTCATGTGATCTTGCCTTGTGTTCCCCTGTCTGTTGTGTCATGTTGTCATTGGTTGATTGTTTAAATGTTCACAGGTGTCCCTTGTCTCGTTGTTAGTCCAGTATGTATTTAAGCCCTGTGTCTTGTTCAGTCTTTATGAGTTCTTAATGTTGTAATTTTGAATGTTGGCTGTCCTGTTCCTGAGTCTGTATTTGTTTAGGTTCTAGTTTATTTAAATAAAGACACTACTGCACGTGGATCCTGGTTCTGCCTCTGCTTCAGCCGCATCGTAACACAGTGTCTAAACAAATGAACCACCGTTTCAGGGCAACCATCAAAAAAAGTGCAATTAGAATCAATATCTCCTTTAAATTTGACAAAGTAATGATTCACTGGGTAAATACTATGTTTCATTTTAAATAATACCTCTTTGACTTTGTTTGTAATTAATTATTGTTTAGGTATAAGCCAAACCTTTTTCCAAACAATATTGTCTGTCAAACGATTCCATTTGAGTAAATATAAGGCAAAGGCACAATGTTTCTTTGAAATAATGCTCTTATTGAAGTTATTGTTTTGTGAGTTAAGGGAAAACAAATATTACCTATATAAAAACGTATTATTTATAGTGGGGAAGAACGTCTTCGTTTGACCGGTTGTGAACACGTGGCAAACACACCAAATAATTTGGCTTTAAATAACTTCTGATGATGACGTAATCGGAATGCGCACGTCAGAGGCTATAAATAGATGTGTGACATCAGGTCGTTTTGTCTGCAGAACATTCTGAACACGCCCTCAGTGTGGCAATGAAACACAGCATCTTGTTCCCGCTTTTCCGGGGAACAGGGTTACAGTCATGTAACTCAAAACTTTCCCTTTCAAAAGCTACTCTCAATGCTGCGCTTGATTTAAAGAGTCTGGACCCCTCAAGGTTGTGTAGTGTGTGCGCACAAACACAAGAAGGGCCTCAGACATGAGCTTGGGATGCCGACTCAAGGACGTGAGAGCCCGGAGTAACGTGAACATCCAAACTATAGAATCTGATAAATGTATGCGGATAGGACCAGCCTGCCGCATCACATACTTGCTGCAATGGGGAGCCTCTTGCTAAAGCCCTGGAGGATGCA